AGTGGGAGGGGCACGGGCCAAGTGGGAGGGGCACGGGCCAAGTGGGAGGGGCATGTGACAAGTGGGCGGGGCATGTGACAAGTGGGCGGTTACCGGTGATGGTTTGCAGCACCAGTCGGATGTCCTCCTGCCGGGTCAGCGCCGCGTTCTCCAGGGACAGCTCCTCCAGGTGGGGGGACGCCTTCAGCAGGGACAGCAGTCGCGGGGTGTGGGCGGGACTGTGGGGGAAGCGGAGGTCCAGCTGCTTCAATTGGTTCTCTGCGGAGAGAAAAGGTTCGGATTAGAAATGTCGGAGATTGTGGCTGCGGCCAATCAGAGCGCGGCGCCGTACCTGTGAACTCCGCAGGCCCCGCCTCCACCAGCACGGGGTCGCGGCTCTCCTCCAGGTCATAGCAGAGTAACAAGGACTGGAGGGCGGGGAAGATGCGGAGGAGGGTCTGCGCCAGGTCCAGGATGGTGATGTAGGTGATGAAGTCACACATAGAGACGGCGCTGAGGGAGGAGCCCGGGGCCCCCGAGAGGTGCGAGAGCGCGTCCAGCAACATCGCCATATTGGTGTGCATATCTGACAAAAACAACCACAAGAGTTCAACAAGATACAAATCCTCCGCTGAGGGACACCTGCGGTTTATAGGGGCCCCGGGAGGGACGCATGCGGGTTATAGGGGCCCCCGGGAGGGACGCATGCGGGTTATAGGGGCCCCCGGGAGGGACGCATGCGGGTTATAGGGGCCCCCGGGAGGGACGCATGCGGGTTAAGCTATACGGGCCCCCGGGAGGGACGCATGCGGGTTACACGGGCCCCATCGGGCTATACGGGCCCCCGGGAGGGACGCATGCGGGTTACACGGGCCCCATCGGGCTATACGGGCCCCCGGGAGGGACGCATGCGGGTTACACGGGCCCCATCGGGCTATACGGGCCCCCGGGAGGGACGCATGCGGGTTACACGGGCCCCATCGGGCTATACGGGCCCCCGGGAGGGACGCATGCGGGTTACACGGGCCCCATCGGGCTATACGGGCCCCCGGGAGGGACGCATGCGGGTTACACGGGCCCCATCGGGCTATACGGGCCCCCGGGAGGGACGCATGCGGGTTACACGGGCCCCATCGGGCTATACGGGCCCCCGGGAGGGACGCATGCGGGTTATACTGCCACCTACAGGACTGGACACTGGCAAACAAGATGGAAAGCCCACCCCCAGTATAACCCCGCCCACTCCCAGCATGCCTCAGGTTTACA